GGCGTTCAACATATATATATATATATATATATATATATATATATATATATATATATATATATATATATATATATATATATATATATATATTATATATATATATATATATTATATATATATATATATATATATATATAGTATATATATATATAGTATATATATATATAGTATATATATATATATATATATATATATATATATATATATATATATATATATATATATATATATATATATATATATATATATAAATATATATATAAGTTTAACTCATTGAGTTGCAGTGTGCTCTAATTAGAAGTGGTCCTGCGGGCCGCAATGTGAAAGGTTGAATCTGATAGTTTGTTAGTAATTGATTTTTTACTATATACATAGTGTATTTGTCTAACATTTAGGGATCGCAGTAATTGGCACAAGCTGTTGCGATTGCCCTACCAGTTTTTGTGTTAACGTTAATTGTTTGAATCTGGTAAAGTTAATAAATTAAATTAAATTAAATCAATGAGGCCTAAAGTGCCATACTTTATTATTTTACTCTGTCTAGCACCAGAGATTTTACTTGTCAAGGGGACGGTGCTGGCTCTCAATAGGTTAAAGAATTAAGATTTCTGGCAACTGAGTGGTAATATGGGTAGTCACCACATCTCCCCAGGCTTTTGCCTAGGGTGTCCAGGCGTCCTGGGACGCCCATAGAACAAAAAATGGACGCCTTTGGACACCCAAATACATCTGAAACAAAATAGCTTCAATTCTCATTATTATTATTATACATTTGACATTTTGATCAATTTGATGGAGTACCTGGCTGAATGAAAATGTCATTGTTAAGTAACGAAGCATAGCAGCACAAATTCGGTACTCACCAAAGCCAAGTGTGTTTGAAAAATTTCGAACGAGCTTGGAACAGATACTGATATGAAGTAACATAAACTTCAAAGGTTTCCAGAGGAACGTTTTCTCGAACCCCCCCCTCTTGATGTTTCCTTTAGCGACGGAAATTGGCTTACAAGTCAATCTTACTATCCAACCCAAACTGTTGATATTTAATATCACAACCACCAAAACTCCAAAAGCAAATGCTTCACCGTCCAGATGAACAAAGCTGCAGTGTATTGCAATTGGAATAAAACGAAACTTTGTTTTTCGTTACTTTTGTCTAAAATGTTTATATGTTGAGGACCGAAATTTGAGGAGGAAATACGCCGCTCAGAACGCAGGAAATGGCGTTTCCGGGCTTCAAATTTCAAAAATTTTCCGAGGGGGCATGCTCCCGGACCCCCTAGCAATGCGAGGTCTTTCCAAATGCTACGGTCAGATTATTGGCTGGATCCGCTCCTGTTCTGATTAGTTACAAACCGTGCGGATTAAACATTAATCGAACAGATGTGCCGATTAATGGATACAAGCTCGCATGCATTAAACACAAGACCTCAAAATATAAATAAGTTGAAAATTTGTATTTTCTGGGCTCTTATTCTACAATGAGATCTTTAAGGTGGCTCCATACACTTTTCATCATCTGGGATCTTTTACCTAATCTTGAGTTTTCGTGCAAAAATGTTAGATATATGCAAACTATAAACACAACTTTTTTAGTCTAAAATCCTAACCTCAAGTCATGCTTATTTTGATGTTTTGAGTCTTCCTTGTTCTCAAAGAACAAACTTCGTTCTGATTTAACTCTGAACATTAAAATAAGCAATCTTTCCAGAAGTAATTTTAAAATTAAGGTAAAAAAGCAATGTTTAACGTTCAATTAACTCTTGTGAAAACTAGCGATCGGTGCGACCGGCGAAAAATATTTTACTCGGCAATATGCCAAGATTGATAAGTGCATATCCACAGTTTTTTGTACTTATACAACTGGTAAATATGTTCAAAGTGTTACTAACAGCAAAGGAATTCAATAAAATGGCATCATGCGCTTTCACTCAAACTGTTTTAAATTTGTTCTGTGTTGGTGTAGTGTACTCAGGTGAATATGATATTTGTGGTGTTACTCTGAGTGTATATCCACACCGGGCGAGCTTGAAAAATATGCCCGGCCACGGTGGGATTCGAACCTACGACCTTTGGAATACTAGCCCAATGCTCTTCCAACTGAGCTACGCGGTCAGGACGATTCGAGTAAGTGATATTTCGGAACAGAATCTAGTTCCTTCAATACCAATGTATTCTAGTAATATGAATTTGTTCTGTGTTGGTATAGTGTACTCAGGTGAATATGATATTTGTGGTGTTACTCTGAGTGTATATCCACACCGGGCGAGCTTGAAAAATATGCCAGGCCACGGTGGGATTCGAACCTACGACCTTTGGAATACTAGCCCAATGCTCTTCCAACTGAGCTACGCGGTCAGGACGGTATTCCAAAGGTCGTAGGTTCGAATCCCACCGTGGCCGGGCATATTTTTCAAGCTCGCCCGGTGTGGATATACACTCAGAGTAACACCACAAATATCATATTCACCTGAGTACACTATACCAACACAGAACAAATTTATGTTAACATATTGCATTTTTTGCACCAAAATATTTAACCGTTCTCCTTCTAGAGTTACTTAAGTTGGCGACACCAATATTGCCACTTGTCCAAATTGTGGATATTAGGTTTAAACATATTACGGAACGTAATAAAATATTTTAATGGTAAATGGCTACATATCTTTTCTAAAACTTGTAATTAGTTGTAGCCAAAATCGCGAATTAATTTTCTGTAAAAATAATGAAGCAAATCCCCAGAAAAGGGGAAAGACTAGTGCTGAAATCCCAACATTTGCTCTTTCATGGAACAAATTGAACGGAAAACAGCAAATTTGAGGCATTTTCCCAACCTTAGCTTTGCCTTTGTCAATTTGCCAGGGACTTTTCATCTTTTTTCATTAATTTCTACAAGAAAAAAAAGTTTAATGATAGAGATAAAAATTTTGTTTTTGAGCAGAAAGGTGGGTAAAAACTTTAGAAATCCTTCCACAAAGTTTGCATTATTTTTAACCTAATTTCTGTAGTTTGGACGGGTTGCAAAATTGGTGTCGCCACCTTAAGTATCTCTAGAAGCCGAACGGTTAAGTCTTTTATTGAGATAAATACTACGATTAATATAATACGATTGTTTTTCAACCCACCGCCAAAAATTGAACTTTTGATTAAATATAGCGAAGTAATACCACCAAATATGACAGGGGACATTTTTTTGAGACACCCTGTATATGAATCGTTAACGGGCTTTTATAACCTTTCAACTTGTAAATAGTATTTATAACCTTTCCACTTGTAAATATTATGGCCACTTTTACCAATTTGTAATTTCAAGTTTTTCAGGTTGCTGGCCATGCCATGTACCTGCCATTTGGAAATTTTAATAAATCATTCAATAATATTTTGCTTTCGCTACACAAATCGGTCTCTCAATCAATCAAATAAAAAAAACAACTTTATTTTAACACGGTGAAATCTACAGTATAACATTTTACAAGATAATTAACTAACGTATAATATGTTATTGTTCTCCTTAATTGAAGTCACGTGACGACATAAAGGGGTGAGTGACAAACAATCTATAGAGTGTAATATGACACGGGAGTTACTGCTACATCCAAATCTTCAAGCGAACTGCTTTTTTGGTGAATTTCAGAGTTTTTTCTGTAGTGCAATATTTTGATGAGAAAAGACAAAAAGATTGCCAGCTGTAGTATAATCCCTTGTGTATTTGAGACAATCACCCCCTTATTTCGTCACGTGATATTTTTCCCTTGTGCCTCAACCTATTTGCCGCCGCTTGCGAAAACCGTTTGAAGTTTGCTGGATAGCCAAACCATCTTATTTTATTAACTGTGATCAAGTTTAAACCTCTAAATAGCTCTGGATTCAATCACGAGCAGGGGAATGAGAAGAAAATCTATTATTCATTAATAAAACTTTAGCTTATGTATTTGCATATAGGAACAATAATTTTGGACTTTGGTCATCTAGCGTATCCCTTAAATTTGTTCCCTTCACTATATCACAATAACAACAATTTCCGCATTGTTTGGCGCTTTACGGTCAAACAATGTAACTTAATAGAAGCACGGTAATGTTATGAGTTACTTGAAGCGGAAAAAGTATGTATAATTATGTATAGTATGTCGCGAAGGGCAATTCATTTCTGACAAGGTTTTTTGCATATGTTTAAAGCCTTAAGCGGAACGCATGTAAAGTGTGTTGAGTGTTCCTATTTTGAAAAGGAACAGAAATGTAAAAGGAACAAACTGTTCCCACCTGCATTTTATCGTTCCCTTTGCTTTATGTTCCGAAATTCGGAACCAGTTAAATTAGGAACACCAAATTGGTTCCTTTCCATAGTTCCGCTAATGAACTCTGGAAAGTTCCACAAAGCGGAACGTCTTTCTAACACATTCTGTTTGTTTGGTTATATGTTTGTTGCCTTTTAAGCTTGTTCCCTTTTTAAGCTTGTTCCCTTTTAAGCTTGTTCCCTTTTAAGCTTGTTCCCTTTCAAGCTTGTTCCTTTTAGACTTGTTCCCTTTTGAACTTGTTCCCTTTTAAACTTGTTCCCTTTTAAGCTTATATGCAAGCAGAACGATATTTTATATGTCTTGCTTTGCTCGTTCCCCCGAGAAGCGCCACAATATTATATATAGCAATGCAATAAACGTTTATAAGACATATTCCAAAACCTGGTCTATTTGAACAACAGCCCAAGAGGGAACTGTTGACATTTTAATATAGTTTTAATGATAAATCCTTGCCAACAAGTAAACAAGCCCGTTAATTTATTTAAAAACGGAATACGGTTAAACGGTTTGTTAATGGTGTATTATTCGGAACAATAAAGTCCGAACAATATCACAAAGGTGGCCAGGGTATAACAAAGGAAGTATAGTTTTAACTATATAGCATTAAATGAGAAATCTCATTTAACAGACTCTGCATTACTAATGGTTGGGTTGGCAATATAAAAAGCAAGGAACTGTCGATCGCTGCATATTTGTTTGATTCTCATGTCTGCACGTAAGAAACATGTAATTGACTGGAAGACAGTAAACGGCGCATTTTCAAAACCGAGACGACTTCATTTGGTCCAAGGTAGCGATGGTTTGAACCGTTGTCCAATACTTAGCTGCGATCATCCAGGATTCGCAAGCCGAAGAGGCTGTCGCAAGCATGTTAAAACAATACATGCCTGGTATTACTATTTCGACGAGAAGCCAAATGTAGCCGTCGATACTTCGGTCATTTCTGCTGCCGCAAATGTTGCAAACGGAAAAGGTTCAAACGTCCCGAGTTGTTCGACAGACAACGACTTCGCACGGTCGTTCTCGCAGTGGCTACAAAGCAGTTGTGGCGGGGGGAAATCTCGTAAACAATCGGACATTTCAGTATCGAGAGCCTTGAAGTTTGTAAAATTTTGCTGCGACCAGAGTGCCGAGGCGGAAGATGACGTGCTCTCCTCTACCAATTCCATCGACTACATCTTGGGATGCCCCCAGCTTTTGACAAATTTTGTTGACAGTCTGGACACAAAATGGGGTACTGGACAATCTGGACGGATTGCTTACGTGACAAGCATATCGGACTTACTGGATTTTGGAAAGTTCAATTCACCGCCCTCATCTGTTCTTCAAAACTTTGCCGTAACCGAGGTTTATGTGAAGAGAGCACGAAAGTGTTTGGCGAAGGACATGAGATCAAATTGGACAACCGATTTAGACATAGAAACGCTGGAATCGCATCGAAGTTGGGCAAGCCTTTCTGAAGTACAATCCGTGATTCCATTTCACAAGGAACGTTACCAATCTGTTTTAGAAATGTGCATGGAAAATCCTGATTCAGTAAAGCCTTGCGACGTAACGTTTGCCACCTGATTCATCGCGGCATACTTGTTTCTCAAAGTGAAAGGTTGTAGGCCCATGACGTACCAGCATCTAACTCTTCGTATGTTTGAAAGCGCAAGAAGAAATGACGGAATGGTAGATCAGAAAATTTTCAAGACGGCCAAAAGATACGGTTTCGATAGCGTATACTTCGACGAGGTTAGCATCAATTTTTTAGAACAATATATTACGTATGTCAGACCTCTTTTAAATCCTATTTGCGACTACATTTTAGTCAATCGAAATGGGAAACAATTTCAGAAACTTACAGACCTTTTGAGCGTGTTAGTCTTCGAAGCCATCGGAAAGTACATCCACCCTACCAGGTACAGACAGATAATTGAAACCGAAAGCTGCGTGGCGCTTTTGCCAAATGAACAAAAGTGGATATCAGAAGACCAAAAACACAGCTCGAATGTGGACCGTGTTCACTATCAAAAGAAACGCTCTCGCCAAGTAGCAATCCGAGGACGCTGGTGCATGAGAAAATTAGTCGAGACAGAACGTAAGACGGTGAACAGCGACGTGAATACGAACATGGAAAATGAGAACGATGTGACTAACTGTTTTCATGGACCGGTTT